AAGAGAGAGAGAGAGAGAATGACAGTATCAAATCCCCTGGATCTTGTTGGCAGTCGTGAGCCTCTAATGTGGATACTGGAGACGGAACTGGGATCCTCTGAAAGAGTAGCCCTCCTAGCTATATTTACTATCATACAAAAAAAAAAAAAAAAAAAAAAAAACCCTGCACAAGGGACTCCCCAGGTGCTCCTGCTGTGTCTTGCCCCTGTGTAGTGGAACTCAGTTCTCAGTTCAGCAGGAACCCCAATAGCCCAGCCCACTCTGGCTCCTGTAGGGATGCCTGGATTCCCTTTGGCATTTTCCAGTCTCTGGCCATTTCTCCTCCAAGGCCATCACCACCTCTGCACGAGGTCTCATGATGCTCCCACTTCCTCAACTGGCCAGGTCACTCAGTTTTTCGGCATCCTTTTTTACTAAATCAGAAGTAATTGGTCTGGCTGAGCTTGGTGACTCATACTTGCAATCCCACAAAGGGTCACCATGAAATAAAGGCCAGGCTGAGCTACGTAATGAGATCTTGTCTCACAAAACAGGACTGGAGAGATGGCTTGGTAGTTGAGAGTATTGGTTGCTCTTCCAGAGACCTGAGTTTGATTCCCAGCAGCCACATGGCAGCTCACAGCTGCCTGTACCTCCAGTTCCAGGGGATCCAACTCTCTCTTCAGGCCTCTGGATGGCACCAGGCATACTTGTGGTGCACAGATATATGTGCAGTCAAAACATCCACAGAAATAAAACAATAAAAAATAATAAAGAAAAATATTTTAGCTGGGCAGTGGTGGCATACCCTGGAGGCAGGGGCAGGCAGATCTCTGTGAATTTGACACCAGCCTGGTCTGCAGAGAGAGTTCCAGGACCACCCTGGCTACACAAAGAAACCCTGTCTCAAACCCAGCCCCCCAAAAAAGAAAAAAAATATTTGTAAGAATCTCTAAAACACAAAACAAAACAAACAAACAAAAAACAGAAACAAATGAAAACCTACCCTCTCTGTTCTGCAGGTCGAAATCTGTTTGTTGTTACGGTGTTTTTCTGAGTTTTTCTTCGATATGTTCTTCCACTGCTTACTGGGTGGAACTATTTATTAACTTCTATTTGAGGACCAAGAATAATGAGATACCTTGGAGGCTCTGCTTGTTGCCAGGACACCTGCATAGCATTATGTAGAAAAAACAACAGAGAGAGAGAGAGAGAGAGAGAGAGAGAGAGAGAGATAGTCAAGCACACTACCGCTGGTCTCTATTCCCAGCTGCCCAAGCAACTTCTTGGAGAACAGTAGGGCATGTAGCCTTTGTAATCTAAAGCTATGTCCAAGCATGGTCCTTAATTATAGCTTCCTTCCCTGAGTGTGTGCTGCCTTGAGGTGCCCCTTTATGTTAAACTTGATTGTTTGCTATTGTTGTTATTTTGTCAATTTAAAGTTTTAAATAACACTTATCTGTTTGTTTACTTGATTTGTGTGTGGAGAGTGCACGCACAGTGCCCGTGTGTAGGTGAAAGGGCAGCTTGCAGGAGTCTGTTCTCTCCTTCTACCATCTAGACTCTGGGGCTGTGCTCAGGTTGTCAGGCTTGTTGGCAAGTGCCTTTACCCACTGGACCTTCTGTCCCTCCCCACCCCCACCCCACTTTTAAAAATATCTCCTTTAGTAATTCAAGATACGGTTTTTCTATGAAGCCCTGCCTATCTTGGCACTCGCTCTGGAGACCACGCTGGCCTTTAACTCACAGAGATCCGCCTGCCTCTGTCTCTCGAGTGCTTGATTAAAGGCGTGCGCCACCACCGCCTGGCTGAATTTTTTTTCAGTTTTTATTACATGTATTTACTTTATGTGAATGAGTGCACCACATGTGTCAGAAGAGAGTATTAGATCCCCTAGAGCTGTAGTCATAGATGATTGTAATCTGCCACGTGGGTGTTAGGGACTGAACCCGAGTCCTTTGTGCTTTGTTTAATTTATTTATTTATTTAATTTTTTTATGAGTGTATGCGTGCCTGAGTGTATATATGTGCTGGCAGCCATCTTGTTCTTTTAAGAAAGAACATACTGGGGCTGGAGAGATGGTGCAGCGGTTAAGAGCACTGACTGGTCTTCCAGAGGACCTGGGTTCAATTCCCAGCACCCACATGGGCAGCTCAACTGTCTATAACTCTAAGATCTGACACTCTCACATGGACATACATGCAGGCAAAACACCAATTAACACAAAATAAAAAAATAAGTCATAAAAAATATATTAAAAATAAAATTAAAAAAAGTCGCTGGGTGTTGGTGGTGCACGCCTTTAATCCCAGCACTCGGGAGGCAGAGGCAGGTAGATCTCTGTGAGTTCGAGGCCAGCCTGGTCTCCAGAGTGAGTGCCAGGATAGGCTCCAAAGCTACACAGAGAAACCCTGTCTCGGAAAAAAACAACAACAAAAAAAAGTACATACTGGTGCATGCCTTGAGTCCCTGCACTTGAGGCAGAGGCAGGCAGATCTCTGAGTTCAAGCCCAGCCTGGTCTACAGAGTGAGTTCCAGGGTAGCCAGGACAACACAGAAAAACCCTGCCTCAAAAAACTAAACTAAATAAATAAATAAGAAAGAGAAATAAAAGAAAAGGTCTCACTCTTTATTCCAGCTACCCGCAGACTTACAGCCTTCCTTCCTGTCCTGCCTCTGGAGTGCTGGGGCCAGAGCTGAATGCCACCACTCTCAGCTGCAGTATCACTTTGAAACTTGCGACCACTGGACAGTCTAATTATTGGCACCCATTTTCAGATATGGAAATCAAGGACCAGATAATTTGAGTAATTTGCTTAAGTTGGTCCAAAGGATGTCCAGACTGACTCAGATTTTAAAACTCTACAGCTGTATGAATTTGAGCCATTGATACAGAAAAAAGGGAACTCAAACAGCTGATTTAACTCTCTTGGAGCCCAAGGCTTCTGTTTTCTAAAGAGCTCTAAAAGTCGGAGTCTTTGATTCCATAACAGATAGAAAATGAAAGAACACGGAGCCGCCAGCCAAGTCCAATGACAGCAACACTACAGAAACCACAGCTGGCAGCAAGAGAAGAAACCAAAGAACAAATTCAGGGACACTGTGTTTAGAAGGAAAACCCTACCCTCCTGGATTTCTGTACTGTGGTAGCCCAGCCTGGTACCAGAGTTTCTTTGTGTAACAGTCGTGGCTGTCCTGTCCTGGAACTCACTCTGTAGATCAGGCTGGCCTCAAATTCACAGAGATCCACCTGCCTCTGCCTCCCAAGTCCTGGGATTATAAAGGCATGTGCCACCACTGCCTGACACCCAAACATTCTTTTTTTTAATAATTTATTTTTATTTTATATGCCTTGGTGTTTGGGCTGCATATGTAAGAGTGTCAGATCTTGGAGTTACAGACAGTTTTGAGCTGCCATGTGAGTGCTGGGAATTGAACCTGGGTCCTCTGGAAGAGCAGTCGGTGCTCTCAACTGCTGAGCCATGTCTCCAGCCACCCTCCCAAACATTCTTAAATGGCTTTGCATATGCTCTAGATTATGAACACAAGAACACAGCGATGACTTTTACAGTGAGTTCCAGAGAAATCACTAGGGCCTGGATAAATATACTTAGTCATCTAAACAACAACAACAAAAAAATCAACATACATGGTCCATAGGTGAAGATAAGGAGAAACCAGAGACTGTGCTGTTGATGTGAGTGTAAAATGGTACAGCCACTAGGAAAACTGTCTGGCCTTTCTTCAGAAAATGAAACATGGGGCTGGAGAGACATCTCAGTGGTTAAGAGCACTGGCTATTCTTCCTTTGATTCCCAGCACCTACTACATAGTGGCTCACAGCCACTCTAGGTCGAAGGTATCTGATGCCTTCTCTGGCCTCCTTAGGCACCAGTCACACATGTGGTGCATAGACACATTGCAGGCAAAACACTAGTACCATAAATAATAACTTGCTTTGTTTTGAGATGGGTTCTCTGTGTGGCCCTGGCTGTCCTGGAACTCGCTCTGTAGACTAGGTTGGCCAGAAACTACTCCCAGAGATCCACTTGCCTCTGCCTTCCCAGTGCTCGGACCAAAGGCACTTGCCACCTCATCTGGTTTTAAATAATAATAACTTTTAAAATTTAAACTTAAGATTGCCATATAGTAGCAATTCCACTGCAGAGTTAAAAGCAGTGAATAGAGGAGCTACTTGTCCACCTTGTTCATAGAGATTCTCCCAATAGCAAAAAGATGGCAACAATCCAAGTTCCCACTGACAGAAGAATGCATTGTCAAAGAGAGGCAGATACATACACTGGAACTGCTTTGCTCTACTCAGAGTGGTAGGGTATTTCTGTGAGTTTAACACTTGAGATGCTGAGGCAGGAGGATCGTGAGTTAGCAGGCAGTCTGGGCTGTATAGTGATTCTAGACCAACCTGGGTTACTTAGTAAGACCTTGTGTCATAAAAAGAAAAGGGGAACTGACATGTGATATAATCAGGTCATCCTTGAGAATATACAGTTTAAAATCAGCCAGTCACAGAAGGAGATGTACTGTGCAGCCCATCTGCATTCTTTGCAACCCTTGCTGCCTGAAGCAGCAGCAGGATAGGCATGCCTGTGGCAGGGCCTAGAGGGGGGGGGGGGGGGATTGCAGGGAGGAGCAGCAAAGAGTTCCTATTCCTGGGTACAGAGTTTTAGTTTTGCAAGGTGAAAGGAGTTTTGTGGCACAATAGTGCCTGTAGCTCAGCAAGGGTATACCTGGTGCCATCAGCTGTATGCTGAACACTGGCTAAGATGGTAAAGGCAGGCTAAGATGGCGCAGCTGGGGAAGGCACTTGCTGCCAAGTTTGGCAATATCTGAGTTCAGTCTCTGAAACCCACATGATGGAAGGAAAGACCCAAATCCTCCAAGTTGTCCTCTGACTTCCACAGGGTACCATGGCACACAAGTGTGTGGGCATATACCACACATACACACACACACACACACACACACACACACACACACTTACACTAAATAAATAAAGTATTAAAAAAATTAGCCAAACAGTGGCGGTGAATCCCAGCACACAGGAGGCAGGTGGATCTCTGAGTTCAAGGCCAACCTCATCTACAGAGCAAGTTTCAGGACAGCCAGAGCTACAGAGAAACCCTATCTCAAAAACAAACAAACAAACAAACAAAAACCAAAAACAACAACAAAAATTTAAAGGTTCTAAATTTTATGTCTGTTCTACCACAATTTTTTTTTTAATTTCTTCTTTAATAAATCAACCTATATGAAATGGGAGAGTGAGGTTTTACTAGAATTAAGGTTTAAAATCATGCCCACCAAAGAAGCATAGACAGAGAGATCAAGTGACCCCATTACACAAGAGTATCAGATGGAAGTGGAGTAGGGGATGTTTTCTGATAAGTGGGTGCTGGCTATGGGCACCTTTCATGCATGTGGGATTGCAGCCTGTTGTCATGTGCCCAGTGCCCGTCAGGAATACCGTCCTGAAGGAATGCCAGTCTTGTGCCTAGTAACTGGCCCCTCCACTCCATGCTTCGTCTAGGTTGCCCTTTTCCTGGCCAGTGGGGTCCTATTGGATCAGTTTGTGCTGCAGGTGACACATCCTCGCTACCTGAAGAATTCTCTGGTTTACCACCCGCAGCTCCGTGCACAGGCTTGGCGCTATGTGACATACATCTTCATGCATGCAGGGTGAGTATGTCTTTCCACAGTCCCTGCAGAAGTGTGAGTGGCCTGATTATCTGGGGTGAAATTATTACATATTATATATACATATGAAATATATACATTTTATATATAAAAACATTATATTTACATATGTATGCCTTTAAACTAAATTTTTTTGGGGGGGACAGGGCTTCTCTGTAGCTTTGGAGCCTGTCCTGGAACTTACTCTGAAGACCAGGCTGGCTTCAAACTCACAGAGATCCACTTGCCTCTGCCTCCCAAGTGCTGGGATTAAAGGCGTGCGCCACACTTGCCTAACTATAAAAGTAATTTTTTACAGTATTGAGGATTGGATTTAGGGCCTCTGGAATGCTAGGCAAGTGCCCTAAAACTGAGCCCCAAACTCTGGAATTACATTTTGGGTTACTTTTATTAACTTGGATGCAGATCTGAGATAGCTTTTTGAAACTAATCCAATACCAAACGTACTGTCCGTTACTGTGTGTGAGAAAGGACAGGCAGAGAGAGTCGGATGCTGAAAGCTAGCAATGAGATTGGCACACACAGTTCACAGTATGGTTCTATGCACTTCCAAGCAGTAAATTGAGATGTTCCATGCTTCCTAGTGGCCAAAGCAAAAATGGTCATGGGACCGACCAGCCACCAGAGTTATTCATAATTTGTGTGTGATTGTTCCCACAAGCCAAGTAAAGGATTAATTTATTAGAACTACTTATTTCCCAACATAGTCTGTTCCAGGGGAAGAAAGCCTGGGGTCTCTTCCCTAGCCCTAAGAAGTCTGGAGTAAGTAAAGTGGTCAGGCCCCTTCTCACTCCAGAAAGAGAACTTCTCTCTATAAGATTTAAAGAGAGCCGGGCAGTGGTGGCGCACGCCTTTAATCCCAGCACTCGGGAGGCAGAGGCAGGGGGGTCTCTGTGGGGTTGAGAACAGCCCGGTCTACCAGAGGTAGTTCCAGGACAGCCTCCAAAGCCACATAGAAACCCTGTCTCAAAAAACAAAAAAGCGAAAACAAAACAAAACAACAACAACAAAAAAGACTTAAAGAGAAAATATTGCATTGCTAAGTTACAAGAGTTCTCAAATGCTTCGAGAGCATCTGTGATCTCAGGCTCCATAGTGCTTGTAGGTATGGTGAAAGATCAGAGTGAGCCCAGAGCTGGTGAATGGCTCAGGTCAAGATGATCGGACTCCTGGGCTGTGACTTCAAGCTACTCACTGCCATTCTCTGAACCTTGGCATTGCCCATGTTAGCCCTTGGTGCTGCTAGGTCTGGGCATGGCTAGTCCTTATCACTGCTGCAGATGCAGACTGTACCTGTCACCACCAGGTCCCTTATGTGTATTCTGTCCCAGCTGGAAGGAATTTTTTTCCATGGCAGTCGTCCCCTCCCGAGCCCATGAGCTGCTCAAAGGCAGATATACCTTGCACCCTGTGGCTCCGCAGTGTGTTGGCACACAGTATTTGTCAGGTGAGTTAATGAATGTGGTCTGTCACAGGGTAGAACACCTAGGACTCAATGTGGTGCTGCAGCTGCTGGTTGGAGTACCCCTGGAGATGGTGCATGGAGCCACCCGAATTGGGCTTATCTACGTGGCCGGTGTCGTGGCAGGGGGGGGGGGGGGGCCCCTCCCAAAGGAAGGTCAGAGGAGATCCTGTGGGTAGAACATCTCCAAGGTTCCTGACTCTGGATTGTCCTCCAGGCAAACTTCACGTAGCCACCCAGACAGGGAAGTGTGTCCTAGTAGCAGGGCAGAGCACATGATTTGGAACAGGACTACTGACAGAATTCCTGTTGACAACCTGCCATGCTCTAGCTGTGTAAGCCTGGGGAAATTCCTTGCTCCTTTTGGTCCCATCAAGTCTGTAAACTACAAAAGCTGCCTGCTGTTGTTGGGAGGCCACACATGTGATAACAGATTCCTTCTGCTGTGCAGGATTCAGAGGGACACCTGCAATGTAGATGAAGCCAGGCAGCTCTTAGGCCAATCTGAACCCATAGGGAGCAGCCATGGATCCCTTGATGGACACTCTGAGGATAGTGCAGTCTGGCCTAGGAAGTAGTGAATACTCCTGTTGGAGGAAGTCTGTGTGACTGATGTGGGGAGGTGGGACAAATGAGGTGAGCAGCAGGACGATTTCTCCAGGGAAGGTAACTGCAGGGCAGCCTCTGAGTGCCAGATCTCCAACTTTACTGCTGCCTGGTGAAGCTTTGCCACCTCAGCTCTTCGGCTTGACAGCTGAGCCCAAGTGAGCTCTGTGTGTGTGTGTGTGTGTGTGTGTGTGTGTGTGTGTGTGTGTGTGTGTGTTTAAGATCTTAATCCTTTCTGAATGGCATTAAATTTGTCATCAAGAGAGCTGGGCAGCCTTGCAGGCATACATGAAGGCAGAGCAGTGATGGAAGTGACTTCAGAGCAGGAAGTACTCCACTCTACCTCCAACAGGCTACCCTGCTTGGTAGTAGAAGAAATGCCAGGAAGAGCCTCTCCCTCCCTGCACTGTCCCTGGCATTTCTGTGTGTGCCCTTGCACCTTGGACTGTCACAAGCCTTTCCCTGAATCCAGCATCTACTGTGTCCTTAACAGAGGTTTAGTGAGCACCTCCAGGTTCCGGGCTGTCTCAACCACCCACACACCTTACAGTCATGCCACCTGGGATTTATAGATGTACGTTCCCCACCTAGATTCTCCGAGTCCCAGATGTTAAATGGCAAGGAACGCGCGGAAGGCACTTGTAACACTTGCAGTTAGTAGTCAATTAGACTGGGGAGGGAGGCAATAACTTGGAAGACAGAACTGAGATTTAAAATGACTCAGCCTTCACCCAGAACAGATGACACAGTGGGGAGACAGCACGAGCATCCCTTCCCAGTGATGTCAGTGCAGGGTGGGAAGGTGCAGACAGAAGCAAAACACATCACCAGGATATGAGACTGTGAGGCTGCAGCCTGGAGCCAAGGGTACACAGCGCTCTGCCTGAGCCATCGATTCAAGCCACAGGGCTTTCTGGTCACTACAAATCATGTCATTGACCTCCATGATTGAGTGGATTGATCTCTCTACGGTCTCCCACTCTGTATCCCCAGAGGGAAACCCTTACAGACAGGTAGACCTTGACTAGAGAGCTAGTTCTTACCTATGACCAGCATGCATGGTGACCTCACTTCCAAGCCATGTGGCCAGTAGCTACACTTCTCTACCTGGTGTGGATACAAAGCCTGAGGCTGAGGTGTGGTGGCATATTCCTGTAATGCCAGGGCTTCAGAGATTATTACAAGAGGATCAAAAGTTCAAGACCAGTTTAAGCTACATAGTGAGAGAGCAACAATAAAACAAATAAACAGAAGCCAGGGTTTAGAGGAACAAGTGACTTGCCCAAGAAGACATAGCTCATAAGTGGTAGACATGGGTTCCCACACAGATTCTGTGACCCCAAAGATTGCCCTATAAACACCAGAGAATCAAAAGGCAAGTGTTTGCTTTTGCGAAGAAACTCTCAGAAACCAAGGGAGGCCTTGATCAGTATCTGGCCCTGCTTTAATCCCTGCCCACCAAAGTAGTCCAAACCCAAGGCCATCCTGTTTTATCGAGCGATGGCTAACTGCCACAGCACATATATAGAGTTCAGGCTTATGGTACAGGTCTTGTGTGTCATCACCAATACACATCACAATTTTATAAGATCTCTAAGGTGTCCACTATCACTGCCATTGTACAGGCCATTCAGAATGGTGAAATAAACTCTAAGCAATCAAATAAGGGTAGAGCCCTGTGCACCGATCCAGCTCCTGTGGCCAACCCTGAAGACGGACACTCACATCACTAGCAGTCTTTTAAACCCAGTATCTTAGCAGGGCATGTGGTCACACACCTTGGAAGGTAGAGGCAGGAGGACCAGGAGTTCAAGGTCATCCTTGGCTGTAGAGTGACTTTGAGACTGCCCTGAGTTACGTGAAATACTATGTCAAATACAAACAAACAAACACAGTAGCATTTTATTGCAGAGTTGATAGAAGCCAGTGTGCATCCCTAGAGCTCCACACCTGTTAGGTAATAAATATTTGTAGAGTAGATGAAAGAATACATGAATAAATAAAGTAACATTGCTCAGAGGTAAATGTTCTGCCAGTGTTAATTTGAGTTTTTCCTAATGGCCACGGGAGTTGTTGGAGAACACCTGCCTTCAAACTTTTCAGGCTAAAACCACCGCAGCTGTGCCTTAACAGCAAGGCCACCAATTCACCTGCACAATGGCATGGACTCACAATATGTTTTGGGAACCAGCCCCTTGGTCTATGCTGGTCTGTGCTGTGCAGAGGTGAGGTGTGGTGTTCCAGCTTGCCATAGTCTTCCTGGCTTCTGTCCCCACCACCTTCACGGGATTTGTCCTGACCTTATGGACCTGACAACCATGAGTTTCAAAACAGGCTATAAGGGGATCCTGCCTGGTCCACAATCTCCCTTGATGTCTTTTACTACTCTATATGTGTAGATTCCTGTGTCTTTTGGTCCCAGCCAGTCCCTCCAGCCCCCAGCTGATGCATGGACCTTAGGAAAGTCTTGGAATAGGGTTATCAAAGGAGACAATGGTGCATGCTTGTTACCCCAGCAGCAGGAGGCAGAATGGGAGGGTTTCAGCAAGTTAGAGGCTAACCTGGTCTACATAAGACCTGTCTTTAGGGGGCTGGAGAGATGGCTCAGAGATTGCATGATGGCTGCTCTTCCAAAGGACCAGGGTTCAATTCCCAGCACCCACATGGCAGCTCACAACTGTTTATAATAACTCAGGTTCCGGGGGATCTGATACCCTCACACAGACTACATGTTGGCAAAACACAATGCATTTAAAATTAAAAAATAAAAATAAAGAAATTAAGACCTGTCTTTAAAAGATATGTATATCTCAGTACAAAAATCGGAGCCAAACCTGGGTCCTTGAATTTCTGGTCTGGGAGGAACTGTGGAGCCCCCTCACGTGGGAGACAGCTTTGCTCCCCAACCCCACCCTCATAGCCCGAGGGTTCCCTGCTCTGCTCAGTGAATTAGGGAACCCAAGAAAAAGGTGTTTTCACTGCTCGGAATGTTGGAACTTTAGACTTCCTTGTGTCATACAAGTGAATACTGAAGGCAAAAGAATTTAGGAGCAGTGCCTAAGGTCGCAAAACTGGTTGGTCACATCTCCCATTGCACACTCCTGCTGGGATTCCTAGCTGGCCCCTGGCCCAAGGGTCAAGACTCTAAACATGGGGAGGGTGAGGGAAAGGTCAGTGTGGAGTAGGCTTGCCCCCAGTAGGGCCATTCTGTCCCCGGAGGCTGCCCTGGTGGACTGTTCTGGGGCACAGAGAAGGGACCAAGTTGCATGGGTCTGTCAGGGAGAGGGAAGGGACCAGCTGGGTGAGGCTGGGGCTTGCTCACTGCAAACAGTAATTAATGAGGAGCTGGCTTGGGCAGCTGGCCCAGCGCTATTCTGCAATGCAGCCCTCACACGGCGGCCAGGAGAGCGTGGGAATCTTTTGTCATGCAGATCCTGCTGCCTGTTTGTTTGCTGCGGTGGGATTCCCTACCCCCACCCAAGGTCCCCTGCTTTGGAATATTTATGGCTGAACCCTATGGGTAGGCCAATAAAAGGAGAAAGTTATCAGACAGTTGTTAGAAACCGAATTAAGGCTGGAAGAAAAACAAACATGACAAAGGTAAAGGAAGATTTTCAGTTGCCATGGGCTGGGAAAAGGACTTCTGAGTCCTCGGGTCATGATAGCTTGTGGTTTGTCTGTTTAATTTTTTTCTGAGACATTACATAGCAAGAATTGGTCATAGGGACCTGGAAAGGGGGTGCCAAAAGGTAGGCAGTCAACAGTGCTCCCATGGGGACCTCTCTCTGGGTCCCCATCCAGATGGTCTTGGGTCCTGGTTCAGGAACTCCCTCCTAAGATGTGGGCCCCCACCTTTGTAGAACTTGCAGATTTGGGCTCTCAGCCTGTTCCCCCTCTCTCCAGCCCTCTCTCCAGCAGCTAATTGACTCCTGAGCCTTCAGGCATTTTCCAACCGAGGTTTCTGCTTGCTCACCCTGGCCAGCCGCTATTCACCCTCTGTGCCCTGGGCTCTACCTCCTAGTTATTTTTAGTCTCCTGTGCCCTTCCCTGGAAGCCAAAGCATTGATCACACTTAAATTCGACCAGAACAATAAATTTCCCATCTCCTCTCTGCCCACCTTTCCTCCTAGGACCAAAGTTTGTCATCCCACACACCAACAGCCACGGAACTGCTCTCTTCCCAGAGTGTGATGTCATCACTCTCTGGACCTCTCAAGGACATTCTCCCTCCAGAGAGGCCCCACTTGGGGGAGGTCCTGTGGGCCTTTTGTGCTTTAGCTTGACTGGCAGGAGGTGGGAGGTGATGTTAACCAAGTTTATAGATTCAGCTGAGTACAGAGAAGTGGACGCAGGCAGGAGCCACCTCTGAACTAATGTGGGAAGTGGCTGCCACTGAGGCCAAGAGCGTGGGTTTTGGTCAGCATGGCTTTCAGGCAGGGGGAACTGCTCTGTGATAGACTGCTTGCCCAGCTTATGTAAGGCCCTGGTTTAATTCCTGGTGCTGGGGAAGAAGGAAGGATTTTTGTGTCAAGGAGCAGGGTTCAAATCCTGGTTCCAGTGTTGGGATGATATCCTTTTCTGTGTCTGCGGTGAGTCTGTTAGCATCTGCCTCAAAGGCTGGCCTTCAGGATGGAAACAAGCCTTGAGGGTAGGAGGTGGAAACGTTTGTACACTGCCTACCTGGCTTTTTGCCGCCTCCAGACATTGCTGAAGCAGATGACCTGGTTTGGAATCAGTCCTATTTCTCCCTTCCCATCAGTAAAATGGGAAAACTGAGTCAAGGCGTTCATTCCATCCTACACAGATCTGGCTGGTCCAGAGGAAGCATCGAGGCAGCATGGCATCAAAAGGGAGAGGAGTTGGAGCCCCTCCTGTGGAGCAGTTCTGCTCTGGTGGCAGAATACACGGGCCAGGGCTGGGCTGCACAGTGAGTCCAACATTCTTGATGGTTTTCACTCTCTCTGTGCCAGGCTCCTTGGCTGTGTCTGTGGCTGACATGACCGCACCTGTTGTGGGCTCTTCCGGAGGGGTGTATGCACTGGTCTCTGCCCACCTGGCCAACATTGTCATGGTGAGCAGCCCCTGTTCCCTGTGGATGTACCCTGTCTCTCCTCTGCCATCACTGGGCTTGGACATTAAGCCCCCGCTCTCCCAGCCCGGGCCAGCCTGGCTGGAGCACGGTTCATGTCTATATCTTTCTCTGCAGACCCATTTCAGCTGGATCCGCCCCAGATGAGGTCCTATGTTCTCCAGCCATGCTCAGCCTGCAGGTGTGCCTGTCTCCGTACTCCACCTGGTCCCTCAAAAGTTGTTAAACTCTGGCTACTAGTGTCTTAGTTAGGGTTACCATTGCTGTGATGAAACACCATGACCAAAAGCAACTTGGGGAGGAAAGAGTTTGTTTGGCTTACACCATAGCATCACTGTTCATCCGTGAAGGAAGTTAGCACAGAAACTCAAGTAGGACAGAAACCTGGAAGCAGGAGCTGATGCAGAAGCCACGGAGGAGTGCCGCTCACTGGCTTGCTCATTATGGCACCAGCCCAGGGATTACACCTCCCACAATGGGCTGGGCCCTTCCCCATCAATCACTAATTAGTAAATGCCCCACAGTCTTGCCTAACCCATTTTTTGGGGGGGGGGGGGCTCAAGACAAGTATCTTTGTGTAGCCCTGGCTATATTGGAACTAGCTCTGTAGACCAGACTAGTCTTGAACTCAGAGACCCGCTGGCTTCTGCTTTCCAGTAGTTGGGATCAAAGGTGTGTGCCACCACCTCCTATATCTTATGGAGGCATTTTCTTTTTTTGTTATTGTTGTTTTTTGTTTTCCGAGATAGGATTTCTTTGAAGGTTTGAAGACTGTCCTGAAACTCTCTTTGAAGATCAGGCTGGCCTCAAACTCACAGAGACCCACCTGCCTCTACCTCCTGAGTGCTGGGATTAAAAGAGTGCACCACCAAAGCCCAGCTGGAGGCATTTTCTTAAATAGGTTCTCTCCTCTCAGATGACTCTAGCTTGTGTCAAGTTGACAATAGAACTATCCAGCACAACTGGTATACGTGGTCTTCAAAATTCTTTGTCATAGAGTGTGCAAAGAGGACTTTGGGGCTGAGGAGATAACCCAGTCCGTAAAGTACTTTTCACACAAGCATGAGGACCCAAGTTTCTATCCCCAGCAGCCACATAAAAAGCATGGTAATGGTGCACACCTGTAACCCCAGTGCCAGGGCAGCACATGCCTAGAGTTTGCCATTGCCAGCCATCCTAGCCAAATCAATCAGTGAGCTCCAGGTTTGATGCCTCCACATGCACCATGAGCTACACACAGGCACACATACGTAAGAGAGCCTTAATGATCATGTCAAACTTCTCAAATAGAAAAAGAGCCCTTGTAGGGGTAAGTGATCTGCCCAGTATCAAGCCCGCACCTCCTGGCAGTCATCCAGTGTTGTCCCCTCCTCCTAAAACTGTCAGGGTCCCATTCTCGTTCCCTCCCTCCCCTTTGCAGTACAGTGGTAAGGGTCTGAGCATGGCCCAAGGGGACAGGCAACCTAGGTTCCAATCCCTGGTGCCCACTGCTAAAAGGTCACCAGGGTCAGGACACATGCTTCTTCGTACCTTGGGTTCTACACCTCTGAAGTGGGGTGGTATGCAATAATTAAGAAAAAATGAACATCAACACTTAAATACTAACCTAATTCCTCATTCCTTACAAAAGAACCCAGGTAGACTCAAACTGGCATGTTGAAGCCCTGTTTTATGAAGCTTGTCTAGTTTAGAGGCAGATAGAGGCCTCTCTAATGGGACATAGCTGTCTGGCCTCACACGCGCATTGGCCTAGGAGCCTGTGTTCTACACCTATTCCCCTGTGCCTGACATACTCATGCTGCCTGTAAGATTTGGCAGGGAGGGAGGGGTCCAGACAGGTTACAGATTCTCATGAGCCCCTTCTGCTCCTGCCCTGTTCGCCTTCACCTTTTTTCCACCTGGCAATTACGATGCTTGGTGGTAGCAGTTTTTTGGAGTCTCTACATTCTCCCATGGCTTCATCTGGGTTTTTGCTTTTCAGTTGGGCAGGTCATTGCCACATAGCCTAGGAACTCAATCCTACCTCAGCCTTCCAAGTGAAGAGTCTGCCTTCTCTTCTATCCCTCCCTCCCTTCCTCTTTTTGTGGGGTTGGGGCTGGGGGTGGGGCTATCCCTAGCTGGCCTGGAAATCCCTGTGTAGTCCAGGCTGACCTCAAATTTGTGGCAATCCACCTGCTTTGGCAGCCCAGCACAGCTGCTGGAGCCCCTGCTTTCTAGACCAGCCAGTCCAGTTCTTGCTGCCTCTCTCTCTCTGAACGCTCTCTTCTTCTTTTCACTTCCACCCCCTTTGTGAGTTGTGAGAGCAAGGGGTGGGGGCGGGGAGAGGAGATGCTGAGTGACTGACTACATTTGCTGCTGAGCTAAATTCTGGCAACTTCCAGTATGTGTTAGTAGAGAGACTGCAGGTGGGTGTGGGAAATCGTGTCTGAGTGTGAGGGTTCGGGGTGTGTTCCTGTTTACACACACAGCACAGTCTGCTGAGGGTCTGTGTGCACAGGCCTGCCTCACATGCCCCCTTTAAGTGGGTCATTCTCTGTCAATGCTGTCTTTTCTCAGACACAGCTATTCCTCTGAATTCTGCCTCCTCCACCCTCCCCCTGCCCCAATTCCTCTCAGTTGGAGAAGAAAGTACTGACCTCCTCCCTCCTTTTCCTACAAGACAGGGATGGGGACAGGGATGGTGGGGGGATGAGCAGGCACAGTGGAATGAGAACACAGGAAAGAAGGAAAAGGCAGGAGTTTATGAAGATCTGCCCACTCTCCAGCTCATGAGATGCAGCCATGGTACCCCAGAAGTTCCCATGGGGAGAAGAGTCCACTCAGCACTGACAGACTGGCCACATGCACCTGGGGACCTGTAAAAACAGTTTTGTTCAGTTTACACTCCCATAGCCATGGCCATGGAGATGAGCAGTCGGGTTTAAAACCCTAGACCTTACCAGAAGAAAGCAGCTCCCTGCCTGCCTCCTGGGAACTGACACTCCTAGAGTTCTCTGTAATGGGCCACTCTAGAGAGGTGTGTTGTGCTTGTGACACTGAAGAAGACTTATTCTTATGACAAAGGTCAGTTTCCTCTCATCAAGGGACTGCCTTTGCCCAAATTAGCTCAGTGCTGAGCTGTATCAGGTCAACCCATTTGAAATAGTACACGCCTTTAGTCCCAGCACTGGGGAGGCAGAGACAGTTGAATCTCTGAGAGTTCAAGTCTAAGAGTTCCAAGACAGCCATTTCTGTGGCTGGAGAATGTTTAAATGTTAGCAATTTCATATTCTTCACCCTAATAGATATACTATTGATGTACTTCCAAAATGAGAGTGGAGTGTTTATTTATTAGACAGTATCTCATCAAGATACAAGGTTGAAAAACCATGGTTTTGATGGTCAGGAAATCTAGATTGAGAGCCATCTGACGGCTGAGTCTGTTGCTACAAATCTTTGGGGCTCCAATTGCTCTCATAAGGTGGTTGTTACAAACTGGAACATGCTTTCCACATGGCAAACCACCACTCAGCAGTGAGAGCCTGTGTGGATGTACATTTGCATATGTAACTCATTACATTTATGTTTTATTTTGTGTGGGGGTGGAGTGGGGGCGTCATGTGTGCCACAGGGCAAGTGTGGCAAAGGACAGCTTTGAGAGTCTGTCCTTCCCACCTTGTAGTTCCCTGTGATTGAACTCAGGTTTGGTGGCTAATGCCTTTACCTACCCAGTCATCTTGGTTGCCTTGTGTGCTATTTTTTTTAAATGTGTGAATTATGTTTCATATGTACGGAGAAATCAGAAAATGTTCTCTTTCTTTTCTTTTCTTTTCTTTTTTTTTTTTGGGGGGGGGGGCTTTTCGAGACAGGGTTTCTCTGTGGCTTTGGAAGCTGTCCTGGAACTAGCTCTTGTAGACCAGCCTGATCTTGAACTCACAGATAACCACCTGCCTCTGCCTCCCAAGTGCTGGGATTAAAGGTGTGTGACATCAATGCCCAGCCTTTTTTTTTAATGTGTGTTGGTGTTTTGCCTGCATATATGTTTTTATGAGGGTATCAGATCCCCTGGAACTAGAATTGCAGACAGTTGTGAGCTGCCGTGTGGGTGCTGAGACTTGAACACAGGTCCTTTACCACTGAGCCATTTCTCCAGCCCTAGAAAAGTGTTCTTTTTTTTTTTTTTTTAAGATGTATTTATTTATTATGTATACAGTGTTCTGTCTGCATGTATGCCTGCAGGCCAGAAGAGGGCACCAGATCTCATTATAGGAGGTTGTGAGCCACCATGTGGTTGCTGGGAATTGAACTCTGGACCTGTGGAAGAGCAGCCAGTGCTCTTAACCTCTGAACCATCTTTCCAGCCCCCCAGAAAATCTGTTCTTAAAGCTTCTGATATATCCCAGGAAAATGTGTAGCGCTTCCGTTCTCAGGTCTAGCAGTTAAGTTAGAGATTTAGCTTTACATAAAAGTATGTCTTATGGTTATGGTGATATACACCTGTAATCATAGCTTTTAGGAGGCAGAGGCAGGAGGATCAAGAGTTCAAGGCCAGCCTGGGCTGCATGGCAAGCTGATGTCTCAAAAAAAAAAAAAAAAACAAGGAGCTGGGAAGATGGCTCAGTAGGTAGAGTTGGCTACAAAAACATAAGGACCTGAATCCAGATCCCCAGAACCATGTTGAGCTGGATGTGGAAACCCATGTTTGTGATTCCAGTATTTCTGGAGGTGGGACAGGAGAATCCCCATTAACTCATGGACCAGCTAGGCCAGAAAGTAGCAAACAGTAAGAGACCCTGTCTAGATAAGGTGGGAGGAAGAGTTGTCCTTGACCTCCACACATGTACCTGACACACACGTGCCTTCACTAACATGCACAGGCATGCAGACACACATAATATACATACATACATCACACACATATAGATTAAGCCCTGAAAGTAAGTGTGTGTGTGTGTGTGTGTGTGTGTGTGTGTGTGTGTTCATTTCTTAAAAAATTCCAGTTTCCACCAAGGAATTAAAGTCAGATGATATTTCAACCAAGGACGTGGCTCACAAAAAGGCTTTCAATCAAGACTTCTTATTTTAAACCCTGAAAATAGGAAGAGCCACCTGTGTGAATAATTTATTAATTGCCTGCTACTGGGGCCCATAAGCCAGAGTTCCATTTTTAAATATGCAAGATATTTACTTACACTTTGCTGTGTGTTAGGTGTTTTCATAAAATATTTGAGAGCCAAATATTTGCAAATTGAATTTCATTGTTAAAGCTCAAGAAAGATAACTGTTAAAAGCAAAGAAAAGCCTCTGCCATAAGGTTTAAGTAATTAAATGAGTAGCCTCTTGTAGGATAGATAAATCAGGAATGATTTATATGCCATGCTTTTGTGGTTGGGGTGTGTGTGTGGTGTGTGTGTGTGTTTGTGTGTGTGTGTGTGTGTGTGTGTGTTTTGTGCTGAGCATTGAACCCAAGGCCTCACACATGCTAGGAAAGTGCTCTTAATTGGTTGGGTGAACTTGATATTAAGGCAACTGGTTACCTTCTTGTTCTCGGTGGCTGAGTTACCATCTCACCCTGCTAGACTGGGGGAGAGAATGAAATGAAAGGGCCTTTGAAAGGTCTGGCTCCCTAGGGGCCGGGCTCTTCCACATTTATAGCAGCAGCAGTGCCTGCTGTGTGAGACCCCTCTTCTCTGCTGTTGTTTCCTTGCACTCATGTTATTGGAGGGAATAATGGGTCCTGAAATGGCCAGGGAAGACTTTCTAGTTTAACCTCTTCACTGCTGGGACATTACAATTCACTGGGATTCCCTCAGCTCTGGGAGCAGCTGGGTAGACAACAAAGGCAGAGAAAATGTTTCACAGTCTCTTAGAGGGTGGTTGACAGAGCTGTGGACTGGGAGGACCACCATCTATCTGCCTGTTAACCTCCTGGGATCTTGCAGTAGCCCTCCTGGATCCTCATCTTCCTCCCTAAAGCGCATGCAAGGTGTTGAACTGGATAAGATCTGGCAATTCAGAGCACTAATTTGCAGCTGGGGCCAGGCAGGTTTGTATAGTTATGAAACTAATGGACTGGAAGCCACACCTGTAATCCTAGGAAGTTATGGAGTTGAGGACATCTTGTGGCTGCTGCAAAGTGAGTTTGAGGCCAGCCTGGGATACCTGGACCCTGGGTCAAAACAAAACAAAACAAAACATGAACTTGGCCTCAGTAGTGCTACGGTAGAGCAGAGCTTCAACTCTGTCCAGGGTAACTTGGACTCTATATTTGTTTGTTTTGAGACAGTTTGTCTGTGCAGTCCTGGCTGGCCTAGAGCTCACTCTGTGGACCAGGTTGGCCTCTAACTCACGGAGATCCACCTGCCTCTGCTTCCTGAGATTAAAGACATGCACTACCACCACCTGGCCGAAATTTACCTCTTTATTACTTTTCCTTTCTTCCTTTTTCTTCCTTTCCTGTTTCCCTCTTTCTTCTTTTTCCTGGGTCTTGTATTTTCTAAGGAAGCTCTCCTGCCATCCTGCCTCCTTCCCACCCCATGGTAGCCATTCCATGTGCTGTCCAATGGCATCAAATGCACTCACACTCCTGGGCAGTAGCCAGCTCCATGCTATTTACCAAACTTTTTTTTTCTTCTTTTTCTTGAGGCCACGTGGCCCACCACCTTCCTGCTGCAGGAGGCAGGAGGCTCACTTCAGAGATTGGATTGCTGGCTCCATGGAAATCACTGACCCCTGTTTTGTTCCCTGTCTCTTTGGTCAGGTGCTGTCCCAGTGTTAGCCTGCCATCTGCTTCTAAATAGAAAACTCAGCAAGCAGATGTTAGACACTCTAGTTCAAGAGGGGCCATGTGCTCCCCACCTCACTACTGAAGAAGCGTCTGTTTCCCATGCTGGCCTGGGACTTGCCATCCTCCGGCCTCCCAAGTGCTAGCCGATCTCCTCTTTTAATTGGAAAGAATTTAAGTTTATTGAATACAAAGCACTTGTGATTTGCAAAGCAATTAGCAAAATAAATTATTAATTATTAATACCAAAGGGGTATTATTTAGACATTACATTTTAAAATACTCCTTATTTAATTTTTTTGTCTTATTCACTTGTGTATGGTGCTGGGGAGCATGTGTGCCATGGTACATGTGTAGAGAGATTGGAGGACAACTTAGAGGAGTCAGTTCTTTCCTTCCACTGTGTAGGTCCTGGGGATACAATTCAGCCCAAACATGGTAGCAATCCATCTAGCCAGCTGACAAAAAAGTTGTTTGTTGGCTTGTTTGTTTGTTTTTTTAATCTATAATTGTACATTTGATTTTTCAAAGTTTACATGACATCACCACAGTGCCAATGTACACATAGTCATCAACTGTAGAAAACACAGAACTAATGGGAGAATTACCAATACGGAGTCAGGTAAAAATATAAGGGTATTTATTAGGGAGTTGCCTTACTTACTGAGCAACCTAACCAGCCTGCAGGGCAGGAGTAAGTACAGCAAGCCAATGATGAAAAGGAAGAAGGGGCATCCATGTGCTCTTAAACCTTCCCTACATCACCCTGACCATGCCCTCGAAGGCGTGGCTGCAGCCTGTCCCTAGCAGGAGTGGTTATGGTGTCCCCTACACAGAACAGTGTCTGTGATGGAGCAGAGGGATGCTTTTCTTTTTCTTTTGGTTTTTCGAGACACGGTTTCTCTGTGTAGAACTGCCTGACCTAAAACTCCCTCTCTAGACCAGGTTGGCCTTGAACTCACAGAGATCCACTTCTCTCTGTTTCCCCAGTTCTGGGATTAAAGGCGTGCACCGCCACAGACTGGCAGGAGCCCTTTCTTTATCTTAAGAAAACGAAACTCTGCTCAGTAAATGAGTAGACTAGCCTGGTCTACTGATGGAGTTCCAGGACAGCCTCCAAAGCCACAGAAAAACCCTGTCTCGAAAAAAAAGGAAAAAAAGAAAATGAAACTCCTACTCCTACAAGTGAAAGCTTGTTCACAATGTTAAGACATCAGAATACTTTAAGCAAATCCTCTTTGTCTTTAAGAAACAAGGATGTTGCCGGGCGTTGGTGGCGCACGCCTATAATCCCAGCACTCAAGAGGTAGAGGCAGGTGGATCTCTGTGAGTTCGAGGCCAGCCTGCTCTACAGAGCGACTTCCAGGACAACCTCCAAAGCAACACAGAGAAAACTGTCTCGAAAAACCAAATAAATAATAAAAAAAATAAAATAAAATAAAGATTGTATTATGTTCATCGACTCTGGAGGCTCCGGGTTTTCAGAGACTCAGGAAAATGAGACTTGTTTGGAGGCCATCTGGCCCACTCTCCTCCTGAAGCTCTCTCCTCAAGTGCTGAAGCCCCATTAGGAACCGTGGGGACAGGAAACTCATGACCGACACAGCCAATCATTCATTACATTTTGTTCATATAAGAAATGGAAACTTGGCCAGGCAGTGGTGGTGCACACATTTGATCCCAGCACTCAAGAGGCGGAGACAGGCAGATGGCTGTGAGTTCGAGGCTAGTCTGGTCTACAAAGTGAGTTCCAGGACAGCCAGGGCTACATAGAGAAACCCTGCCTCGAAAAACCAAAAAAAAAAAAAGAAAGAAAGAAATGGAAATTTGTCTTGAACAAGCGCAATGATTGCATGCTGGCATGAGAGAGTGAGCTGGAGAGAGAGCATGGACTGAAGGGCTCCATTGACCCCTGTGTCTGAGAGCTGTAGGATCCTCATTCATTCTTCCTGGATTCTGATAGTTCCACTTTGACTTTGCTGGGTGTCCTGCCCCACATTTCTTGTCACCTGTGGGGCACAGCAAAGAATTCTTCTTTCAAGGAGTTCCCTGTCTGAGGTAGGAGATAAAGACTCTTGCTGGATCTACGTGCTCTGTGCTGTGTGAGTCAAGAACTTTTATGACAGGGATAAACTTAACATTGCCTGAAATCCCAAAGCCACGCTGTATTGGTGTACTGCAAAGCCCCAGCCCTCACTTGGTGCATCAAGGGATGGCTTCTGTGTACTGGCAAGCTGACAGAACTCTCTCTCTTTCCTTTAGAACTGGTCAGGCATGAAGTGCCAGCTCAAGCTGCTTCGGATGGCTGTGGCCTTGATCTGTAGTGAGTACTGACGGGGCGGGCGCTCAGGGTGCTGGGGGTAGGGGTGCAGGAGTACAGAGATACAGGCTCTGTCTTTGCCTTCCAGAACTTGTGGTAGAAAAGAAAAGGTGAGGCATTATCAGTAATGTGCCCAGAGCAGGGACAACCTGAGGAAACCTTTCTCTTTACCCTGCTTGATCCTTCATGATCTTTTGTTGTTTTGTTTTTTGTTTTTTGAGACCAGGTCTTGTGTGTCTCATGTTTGCCTTGAACTCACTAAATAGTCAAGGGTAACCTTGAACTTTTGATCCTGCTTTCTTCTCAAGTTCTGGGATTAAGACTTGGGTCACCACACTGGTTTTTATGTGGAGCTGGGCTTTGGGCATGCTAGGCAATCACTCTCCCCAGACCTTAATTATTTTTCTTTTTTTTTTTTTTTTTTTTTTTTTTTTTTTGTGGCTTTTCTAGACAGGGTTTCTCTAAGTAGCCCTGGCTGTCTGAGAACTCACTCTGTAAACCAAATGCTGGGATTAAACTTTAAAAATTATTCATGTTTGGGCTGGAGAGATGGCTCAGCGCTTAAGAGCACTGACTGTTCTTCCAGAGGTTCTGAGTTCAATGCCCGGCAACCACATGGTGGCTCACAACCACCTTGAATGAGATCTGGTGCCCTCTGCTGGCATGCAGGCAGGATACTGCATACATAATAAATAAATAAAATCTTAAAAAAAATTTTTCACGTTTATTTTATGTATACGGGTGTTTTGTCTACATGTATGTTTGTGTACCACATGCATGCCTGATGTTCAAGGAGGTCAGAAGAAGGCATCAGACCCCTAGAACTGGATTTATAGACAGTTATGAGCCACCATGTGGGCGATGAGAATTGAACCTATGTCCTCTGCAATAGCAGTAAGTACTCTTAACTACTGAGCCATCTCATCTCCCCAGCCCCACTTCTTAAACGCTTCATAGACATAAAGTGTGCAAACAGAAAAGGGTCCAGTGACCAGAGGGATCAAGAGAAATAGTTTCGTGACTTCTTGATGTGAACTTGACCTTTTAGAATGTGTTTCTTTGTATGTGCACCTGTGTGTACATGCACATCTAAACCTGCAGGGTCTTCAGGCTGTAGAGATATCTCAGAGGTTCTCAGCACCAACACAGCAGTTCATAACTGTTTGTAACTCCAGCTCCAGGGAATCCAAAGCCCTCTTTTTGTCCCTGTGGGCATCGAACATGCCTGGCGCACATACAAACATACATGCAGGCAAAACACATGTACACATAAAATATAAACAAAGAAATTTCTTTTTTGAAAAAACTTGCAGTCTTAACCAATGGTATGACACATGGCTATACTCCTAGCACTTTGGGAAGCTGGGGCAAGAGGGTTGGAATTTTTAAATTTTTATTTATTCATTTTCTTGTGCATGGGTGTTTTGCCTGCATCTTTATGTCATATGTATGAAGTTCCCAGGGAGACCAGAAGAGGGCATCAGATCCCCTGGAATAAGTTACAGATAGTTGTGAGCTACCATGTGGGTGCTGGGAATCAGATCCACCTCCTTTGAAGAGCAGCCGTTGCTCCTAACTGCTAAGCTATCTCTCCATCCCCAAGAGAATTGAATTTTGTAGCCAACCTAGATGACAAAGTAAAATGATGTCTCGGGCTGCCCCTGCCCCCACACTGAAAAACTTGACCTTATAGTAGAGTCAAAAACTGTGGTGACTTCTTTCTTTCTTTTTCTTTCTTTCTTTCTTTCTTTCTCTCTTTCCTTTTCCTTTTCTTTTTCTTCTTCTTCTTCTTCTTTTCTTCTTCTTCTTCTTCTTCTTCTTCTTCTTCTTCTTCTTCTTCTTCTTCTTCCTTGGTTTTTTCGAGACAGGGTTTCTCTGTGGCTTTGGAGGCTGTCCTGGAACTAGCTGTTGTAGACCAGGCTGGTCTCAAACTCACAGAGATCTGCCTGCCTCTGCCTCCAGAGTGCTGGGATTAAAGGCGTGCATCACAGCCACCCGGCAGTGACGTCTATTCTTAGCTTGTACTGGGACCTTAATCAGACAGGTCAGTTCTACTGACTGAGAGGCCTGAACATAAAGACAAGCATGGCTAAGCAATTGACCAAATACAAGAGAACATATCTTGGTGGTATACACCTTTAATCCCAGCACTTGGTAGCCTGAGGCAAGAGGAACTCTGTGAGTTCAAGGCCAGCCTGGTCTACATGGACAATTCCAAGCCAACCATATACAGTTAGACTGTCCAAAAAAAGAGGAAGTGAGGAAGTAAGTGGCTTGTCTGGCAGAGGTGCCACAGGAATAAAGGACTTGGTTGGCAAAAGATGTTGGCATGGAAAATGGGGGCTTGGGACTGTGTATAGTTGTGACAAGAAATAAAGCTAATGAGATCATAATGGTTAGATGATAGTGGCTTTAAAGGCAAAGGCAGAAACATGCATCACCCTACGTATACTTTGAGCCCACTGCAGGCTTGTGGCAGGAGAGACACTGAAGGTGTGACACATAGGAATGTAGCTGCATTGTGATGTAGAAGAATGGATTGAGGGGCTGGAGAGGTAGCTTGGTGGTTAAGAACCATACCACCTGCATAAAAAAAGCCAAGCATGGTACACATGCCTGTGATCCTAGTGTTGGGGGCTAGATAGAGGAAGCTCCCAGGATCCCACTGACTGGCCAGCTCATCCTAAAGAGTGAGCCTCAGGCTTCAGGTTCAATTAGAGATCCCATCTTAAAAAAAGACAGTGAAGAGGGGCTGGAGACATGGCTCAAGGGTTAAGAGTACTTGCTATTCTTGCAGAGGATCTAGGTTCAGTTCACACATCAACTCTCAACTACAACTCCATTTTCAGGGGCTATGACACCCTCTTTTGGCGTCCATGGGTACCAGGTATGCACACAGTACACATATATACATGTAGGCAAAACACTCATATATAAGTTTTTAAAAGTAAGGTGAAGAGCAATGGAGGAGGGCATGTAATGTCTTCTGTCCTCCATATGTGCATGCGTAGGTGTGTGTATGTGTGTTTTGGAGGCTGTCTTGGAACTAGCTCTTGTAGACCAGGTTGGTCTCAAACACAGAGATCCGCCTGCCTCTGCCTCCCAAGTGCTGGGATTAAAGGCGTGCGCCACCACTGCCCGGCCAAAGGGCTGTCTTTTAATCTGTCAGATTTGCCTTGGCTTCCCTCCCAGTCTGGAAAGTAAGGATAAGAATACCTACTCTCTCAGGAACTAAAGAAATGACTCAGTGGTTAAGAGTGCTTGCTGCTCTTCCAGAGGACCCAAGTTCAGTTCCCAGATCCCACATCGGGCAGCTCACGATGATCTGTAACTCCAGCTCCAAGACATCTGATGCACTCTTCTGAACTCAGCAACACTTTCACATTCAACACACACACACACACACACACACACACACACACACACACACACACACACACACACCAACGTGATTTAAAATTAAAAAGGGGAGTGTGCTAGAGAGGGCTCATCAGTTAAGAATACTGGCTCCACTTCCAGAGGACCCAGATTCAATTCCCAGCACCCACATGGCAGCTCATAGCTGTCTGTAACTCTTGTTCCAGGGGATCTGACAAGCTCACATAAATATACATGGAGGCAAAACACCAATGAACATAAAATACGTATATTTTTTAAAAGGCCAGATGATGGTGGTACACGCCTTTAATCTCAGCACTTTGAGAGGCAGAGGCAAGCAGATTTCTGAGTTTGAGGACAGCTTGGTCTACAGAGTGATTTCCAAGACAAGCAGGGCTACACAGAGAAACCCTGTGTCAAAAAAAAAAAACAAAAAAACAAAAAAACAAAAAAACAAAGCCGGGCATTGGTGGCGCAAGCCTTTAATCCCAGCACTTGGGAGGCAGAGGCAGGTGGATCTCTGTGAGTTCGAGGCCAGCCTGGTCTCCAGAGAGAGTGCCAGGATAGGCTCCAAAGCTATACAGAGAAACCCTGTCTTGGGAGAAAAAAAAAAACAAACAAACAAAAACCAAAAAAGAATACCTGCCTTCAGACAGGCTTGATGGTGCACACCTTTAGTCACAGCACTTGGGGAGACAGAGCTCTGTGAATTCATGGACAGCCTTGTCTACACTGAGTTTCAGGATATCTGGGACTGCATTGTGAGGCCTCGTGTCAAAAAGAGAAAGGAAAGAAGGAAGGGAGGGAGGAAGTCCTTTTGCTGGCCCTTGGGTATTGGGAAATGGGGTGGCACTATTGTCCAGCCCTTTTCCTTCCAAAGAGACAACATCCTATTTGATTGACTGACCTAGAAGGTTCACAAAGGAACCATAGTTGGTGACATGCTGGGATTGGTTAAGGGAGAAATTCTAAGGTGTGCTGGTGAAAGTGGAGTTCAGACTATTAGTTTAATTCCTTGTTTACCCTTGCTCCCTCTCCATCTCTTTCTCCCAAGCACAAAGGCACTGGCTCTCAGTGTTTCTAGGTAACACATAGAAACACTCTGTGGAGTGTTCAGAGCATATAGGAGTTGTTGACCATGTTCTACTGGTGCAATCAGGTACACTGGGGCTGAGCGTTTATACCAGTGGACAGATGAAGAAATGGCCCTGGGATGTAGCATGGCCACAGAGATGCCAGGGCCTTGACAGAGCTGTGCCTTCCTTAGGGTCTTCTAGCAAAGGCCCCCTTAACATTCAGATGACAGTTCAAACATTTCCTTTTTTGTTTGTTTTGTTTTTGTTTTTGAGATAGGGTTTCTCTATGTAACAGCTCTAGCTGTTCTGGAACTCCCTCTGTAGACTAGGCTGGCCTCGAACTCACAGAGATCCACCTGCCTCTGCCTCCCAAGGGCTGAGACTAAAGGCCATCACTGCCTGGCTTCAAACATTTCCTCTTACGAGGCTCTGTCTGACTCCCCAAAGAATGCCCTGCCTTGTGCCCATCATAGATTTTATATTGTCTATTTGCCTCGTGTCTGTAGCTCTTAATGAAATTGTCCTGTGAATGTAATTGATTGTTGATTTATCGACAAGTCCTGTAGGCTCTTGAGATACTTTTGTCTCCTTGATTACTGTATTGGGTGACGGGGAGGCCGGTGTGCCCAGCCTCTCCCCGGGGCCCTGCTTGTGATGTCTCTCTGTCTTTTCCCCTTGCAGTGAGTATGGAGTTCGGGAGGGCTGTGTGGCTCCGCTTCCACCCATCGGCTTATCCCCCATGCCCCCACCCAAGCTTCGTGGCGCACTTGGGTGGCGTGGCTGTGGGCATCACCCTGGGCGTGGTGGTTCTAAGGAACTATGAGCAGAGGCTGCAGGACCAGTCGCTGTGGTGGATCTTTGTGACCATGTACACCATCTTCGTGCTGTTTGCTGTCTTCTGGAACATCTTTGCCTACACTCTACTGGACTTGAAGCTGCCACCACCCCCCTAAGGGACTGGAGGACCAAGGCAGGGAGGGGAAGAAGCATCCAGAGGAAATACCGGCATCTGTTTCTCATCACCAATTCAGGGAGACCAGGGGACGCAGGAGACTCTCTGGGCCGGATATCAGTTTAGAAGGATGGGGGAGGGGATGGATGCAGCTGCTG